CAGAAAGACTGAGAATTACTTGACGGCACTGGCTTACATGCTTGTGAGAGCCTGCAAATCCCAGGCTGTTAAGCTAGAAATTCAAGAGATGAAGTTAATCTTGAATCAGTTCTGCAGGGTAGTGTTGGGAGTGAGCATGTGAGGAGATTTACTGAGGGACTGGATAAAGGCAATAATAAATTAGACCTTGCATCCAAGGGTGATAAGGCGGTAATAAACTGGGCCTTCCACCCAATTAACGGGGCCTTGCATCCGGGATGGGACTAGAAGAAGGTGATAAGGAACTGGGCCTTACATCAAGGGACATAGCGATGAGTCACCCCTTCGGAATCTGAGTTTAGAATCTATATAAGAGACCCTTTCCCCCTATAAGGCTGGCAGTAACTGTGGACCCTACTCTGGGGCTCTGTCTCAGCTGCTATCTGAGAGCAATACACTCTGTTTGCTCAGCCTTTCTGCCTTCCGTCTTTCTTGTGGCCGGTTCTAGAAGTTGGGACAAAACAGGTAGCATGCTGGAAAGTAAGGCAGAGCTGCTATGTTGCTGTCTTGAGGAAATTTCTTTCTCCTTGGGAAACTCCAAACATTTCTCTTCAAGCCTTCCACTAATTGAACTAGGCCCGCCATATTACTTTACTCAAAGTCTATTGGTTCAGATGTTAATCACATCTTTAGAATACTTCAAAATAAAGTGGAGATTATATTTGACCAAACAGCTGGGCACCCATATGGTGTGTCTACAGCTTAGTCAAGTTGATGCAAAATTAACCTTCATAGGTTCCCTTTCAGAACAGAGAAAGCTGTTTTCTATTCCCAACTGCTAATCTGTATCATATTTTGCAAAAAATTATATTTTTTAGACTCTAACATTTATGTCCTTTGTGATCCTTTCAAACCAACTGTCTTAATTATTAGCAAAGAGTCACAGAATGTTAAAACAGGAGGCTTAGCAATCGTTTAGTGTTTCTTTTTTTAAAAGATTTATTTACTTATACATACAAGAACTGGGGTACAGACCAGAGGTGGGAGTGGAGGTGGGAGTGAGAGGATGCACTAGAGAAAGAGTAAGGAGAACAGGTAGACTGACTGAAATACACTGCTGAGGGGAGCAGTGGGCAGGACAGGAGAGGTCTGCCAAGCCATGCAAGTCACCACCCTGGCTGGGAAACAAACTCATGCTGCAGTGGCTGTGAATAGCTTCACAGCACTGCACTTTAACCTGTTGCGCCACCAGGGAAGGCCCGTTGAGTGTTTCTTAACCTCTTTCTGATCTTGAACAATTTAGAAATTCTACTGAATTTTATCTTTCAAAAAAAGAGACTTATATACACAAAATTTAGCATATGATTTCAGGTGTTAGGTAGGAGATACACAAAACTGGAAGATCTCAGCTGATTTCCAACAAAGGGATACTGTTTCTTCACTGCTCAGGGAGGGGAGCAAGTAGGCTGCAAGCCACAGGACTCTGAGGCCCTGAAAGAACCTTTGCTATTGAGTCAGGAGGTTTTCTTAATAGAGACACCACTGCTACTCTGAGCCCCATCATCTGGGGTGCTTCACAGATTCTTGGCGTGGCCTCTGAAGTGCTACAGAGGCTCCTCCCCCAGTCCTTTCCTCACCAGTCGTTTTTGCACTTTTTTCTCTTGCAGACAGCCCAATTGGTGACTCATTCCACCTCCCACACTCTCAAGAAACTTGATGCAGTTCCTTGCAGCATGTGAGGCCACCATTTCCTGTCAAACTGAACAGAAAATGAATGGTGCTTCAGAGCTGACCCCTGAAATCACAGTGTCCTCCTACCTCCACGGAAACCAGTCTCTGTCCCTTGCACATAGAGTAACTGTGCCAGTTTGTCTGGGACTGAGGAACTTCTTAAAATGTAGGACTTTCAGTGTTATAACTGAAATATGTGGGCCCGTCTGAGACCTTGACAAGGGCACTAGCAAACTTTACGGAGTCCTGCGCTTCACCACAATTACAAAAGTGAATTGTCTTTGTAATTTTTCTTAAAGTGGACCCCTCCCCCAATGGTACAAATTTGAGGTCCCACAAAATCCTGCCCACCCTGTGTTGTCCTCAGGTATTCCTTAAGGACTGGACTTCCTCTTATAAAACTCCATCTGGTGGTCCAAAATGCTACTGCATGCTGACTCTGAGTACCACTACCCCCAACTCACCATGCTGAACACCATCAACACTGACATCATCAGGGATCCAGTCTGTCACCTTACAAAGTTCAGATTTCCCAGGGTGGAGGAACTGGCTTTATAACTCAGATAATTATAGTTTTAAGCACCAGTTTGCCTCCTCAGGGCAAACTTTAGTTCAGCTCCACCCATTCTTCACCAAGGTTTGATTGAAGTCCTTATTTCTCTTGTTGCTAAGCCCATTCACTCCGAGAAGCAGTTAAACCATTAGGAATGAGGACCAAAACTTCATGTTTTCAGACCCGATGCCCATCAAACTCTGAAAATGAGGACTTTTAGGTCAGACCAAAATCAACCTGAGAATTGAAAGGTAAAATAAAAACTGTTGTAATAATTAAAAAAAAAAATTTAAATAAATAACACTAGATTTCCCAGACTATAGGAAGTGGCTTTATAATGCAAATAAACAAAAACTTAGTTCCACTCCTCCCCCAAAACAGAACATAAAGGAATGTATGGATAATCTTTCAGAAAAAATGATGAGAGTGGCTGTGCCAGCCACTGTTATTTTACTTCTAGACATAACCCTACATATCCTCTCACTCCAAGACTCAGTCTGAAATATCAACTGTTTCCAGAGACAGACAACCAGATGCCATCTCCAGTCTATGCAATATCCACTGCATCTTTGCCCCACATGTGGAAGGCTTCTTCCAGGCTTGTCAGAGAGGGAGCTGACAGGCAGCCTGTTTAAGGCCTGTTTAAACCTTGGGGTGCTGGCAGAAATTGGACCTTTCGCGGCTGAGCTGCTAGGAGGCTGAGAAAAGATCACCACCTAATCTAAGTGAGTCACTCCTGCCCTGCCCGCCCTCCCTGCCAGGGAATCCACCCAGCTCCATGCCCTGAAGAGGCATCCACTGTCAGAAACACAAGCTGGCTCCTTCCTCCAGCTCTTACTCTGCCCTCTTAAAGTGTGCTAAGTGAAAATCTTTTCATTCACTCACTTACCTAATATATTGTAAGAGAGGAAGGAGCCATATGACACAGGATTGTGAATATGGCTTTTATGGTTACAAATGTTCTAGAGGCTGGAAAGTCCTAAAGAGAAGAAATGCTTACAAAGAGCATTCTACCTCCCTTTC